TTACTTATCTTCTAAAATGCTCGGTTGTAAAATTTTACATATTCTAGATGAGTTGTACAAAGCCTAATAAAGTTAAGCCATGATTGCCGAATTATTAAAAAAAAAAAAACATTTAAACTTTTTTTCATACTAAGTTAATCATCTTTTTTGCTTAAGAGACTTTTGTAAAGCTTGTCAAGATGCATCTAATGGTGGTTAGAGTGTCATAATCAGCCTGGTAAGTACTGAGATATCTTTAAAAAACCTCTCTTTTACTATATAAATTTCTTTGCTACTACAATACTATCATTTGCAAAGAAATTTACATAGTAAAAGAGAGGTTTTTTAAAGATATCTCAGTACTTACCAGGCTGATTATGACACTTTAACCACCATTAGATGCGTCTTGACAAGCTTTACAAAAGTCTTTTAAGCAAGAAAGATGATTAACTTAGTATGAAAAAAAGTTTATCTTGGGCAAATGCCACATTCGCACCATAGTAAATTTATATAGTAATCTGAGTTACATTTTACTAAGATCACGTATCAGTTGACTGGAAAATCATCAATTAAGTTAGAAAAATGATTAACTTAAGTATAAAAAAAACTTTTAAATGTATATACACCATATTCGGAACTCTCTAATTTTTATAAGTGATTTGAGTTATATTTTACTCTCTAGTTAACTAGTAGATTACCAAGAAATATTAAGAAATATTCAAAAACTTTAAGAAATATAGTAAATTTATTTTTTGATTATTTAGCTAATTAATAGTCTATTCATCATATATTGTAGCTTGTTTTGATTATTATAATCTTCTAGATCTAATAAAGATAAAATCTCTAATATGTTTGATTATTAACATGTTCTATCTCTTAAAAATCACTAGTTAGCAGGCATATTTAGCTGCTAAAATATTAAAATTGTTATATTTGATCTATTTTTGTTAAAATTTAAAATATTTAAAAGAAATTTTATATAATAATATTTAAAAATAAAAATTATAAAATATTCTGGTAGGTTTAGATCGCAGATAGTAGTCAAGACCTGTCTGAGCCATAATGTATTTAATAATTAGTGTATAAAAATAATTGTATTATATAATATATACAACAAAAATATATACTTAATAAAAAAAGTCATGAGGCATGACCTCACCTTAATACCGAAAAAAAAAATAATAAAAATTATAAAATAGCAATATTTATTTTTAAATTATAAAAAAAAAAAATGAAGTTGTTTATAAAACAAAAACTTTAAAAATTATTTTTTTTTAAAAAAAAATCAAAATTTTATTTTCATTTAATAACAAACTTTTAAAATTTTAAAAATAAGTATATTATAATTTTGATACAAATTGTAGAATTTGGTTTAAAAAACAATTTTAGTTAAAAAATTTATATAGTTTTATAAATAAAATTTTGACTTTATATAGTAGTAGGGTGTGCAAAAAAAAGCCTGTATAATTTTGGAATTTTTAAAATATAAATTTTACAGATAATTAATCAAAAATATTGTAAATTTTTATTTTAGCTTAAAAATAGAGATATATATTCTTAATAAAATTTTAAGTAATTATAAAAAAGAATTAATCTACATTAGCGAAATATATTAATGTAATCTTACATAAGTTATTACGCCCTGAAATATTGCGCAATAATTACAGTCTGGACATAATATTGTGCAAAAAGTTGCGAAATATTGTGCAATATATAATGTAATATTACGAAATATATTACGCAAAATTACAAATCTTATAGCGCAAAATTTCGTAATATATTGCGCAATATTTCGAAATAGTTCGAAACAATGTAAATAGATATAAATGCTTCAAAATGGCAAAATATTTACAAATTAAAAGATAGCTACTAATGAGAAAGAAAAGTTAATCAAATCGAATTTATCAGATACTATTCAAAATATTTCAGGTAATTCGAAGAATTTGAAATAAATTAAATAATTTATAAATAATAGGAAATATATAAAAACACAATAATTATACGATTTATTACATATTTTCGAATTAATTCAAAAAAAACTAAATTTATAATATTTATTTAAATAAACAAAATATAAATTTTATAACTTAAAATATATTTTATTAATAATTTTATTTTTTATTTTATTTAAAATTTTAAAAATTATATAAAAAAAAAGCTAAATTATAGAAAATCCTAAAAGAAATATATAAAAATAAAAGACAAAAAAACACAGCATTATTCAAATAAAAAAAAAACAAAGCAAAAAAATAAAAACTTTTACTTATCATCATCTATATCTTTCTCATTATCAACTGTAACTCTCTTATCATTATTATTATCATCATCGTCTAAGGCCAAATAATCATTATCTACCGGTATATTTATACCTACTTTGGGTACTTCTTCTTGGTTAGTTGTGTCTTCATCCGAACTAACTCGAACTCCTTCGGATTATTTATAAAAATAAAAATAAAAATTAGCTAATTCGAAATATTGCAAATTAATTCAATTAAAGTTAAGTTAGTTAAAGTTTTTCTTACTATATTTTGGCCTTTTACGAGTCTAAATAATTCATAAAAATTAAAATAAATTCAATTAAAATAAATAAAATTAAAAAATTGTACTCTTTCGGATTGATTTGAATCTTTTTTGCGTTTGGGAACTTTATCCTAATTAATTTTAATATTTGTATCAGTTTGTAAATCAATTTAATATAAATTTAATTAATTTAAAATTATTTTTACTATTTCGACTTTATTCGAATCTTTTTCTCTAAGGTTATCTCTTTCTTCATCACAAGATTCGACTTCTGTACCTGGATCAGATAATAGTCTACGATATTTTAAGCTTTCTTATTTAATTCAAAATAGTTTGAATTTAGTTAATTAAAGTAACTAATTATAATAAAAATTAAATTAAATACTTACTAAATATCTTGCAGCCAATTTTTTTACAGCACTTTCTTCTATTATTATTTTGCTGTAATCTGGATTTAGTATAATTTGTGCTACTGCTATTGCATAAGCTACATTTTCTTCGGAAGCATCTTCATCTGGCCAAATTTTCTTTTCTTCTATCTCTTTAAATAGCATTTTATAACAATTTTTAGTCTTTTTCGAGGCCTTCTAATCTCGAATTTTATCTGATGAAGCCGAATTATTTATTTTATCTAATAGACTCCCAAAAACAAAAAATATATATTTTTTTATATTACTTGTTAGTGAACCTCACAAAGATCTAATTTGTTTCAAAAGCTTAAGTATTATAATTAGTAAATTAAAATATTTAGAATAATTCGAATTGTTTCGAAATAATTTTAAATATTTCGAAACAATTCAAAACATATAAAACATATAAATTAAATAAATAGGTTTTACTGGTCTATTGATGTTTTTTGTATAATAGGCATTCTACTGATTCAGTATATTTTTCTTGTAATCTTCTTTATAATTATTCCTGATATATCTATCTAATGCACCCAAACATTCTGTGCCAGGTTATGTCGATCCATGTAGTATAACCAAATAATTACACAAATAATTATGCAAGATGGATAATCGTTTATCAAGTGCCGGGGTTAGGTTGTGTAGGGCATATTGTAATTATCGGTTCGCTAGTATAAGTAATTTATAGTATATAATTTATAGTGATAGTAATTTATAGTAATTCATAGTATATAATATAGCAATAGTAATTTATAGTATATAATTTATACGTATCAATAGATCAATAGTAATTTATAGTATATAATTTATATCAATAGTTATCAATAGTAATTTATGTTAATTTATAATCAGTGATGTAATTGTACGTATATACTAGAAAATAAATAAATATGGGTTCGATCTGTGCGTATGTATTTTTACCTTTTTACTCTCAATAAACTGGTGCCTAATAAATATCATAAGAGGTCTGTTGTTAGAAAGGTGAAGTTTAGTGGAGGTTGGAAATAAAGAAAAGGTCTGGTGTTAGAAAGAAGTATGGTGAAAGAGGAGTAGCTAGTGCATAAATAATTTATATATACAAACCTTCGAGCGTATCAAACATAGAAATACTTTACAATCTCTAAGTAATAAAGTCAAGAGTGTACAGCAGTTGGAAATGACAAACAATCAAAAAAAAAAAAAAAAAAACTCAAGCTTGCATACGTAAGTAATTAATATATAAGAAATTCTTGCTTGAATAGTAACTTACACATGATTCATGTTAATAATAACAGGTGTCAACTTCATATTTTTTCATGAATTATATAGATGAGAATAAGGATATGTTCACGAATAATCTAAGGAGAAGCACGTTTACGAATTATATGGAAAATGCATTCCCCAGTTGCATGGAAAATACATTCACATATCGTATAGAAAATATGTTCACGAATCCTATAGAAAATACGTTCATGAATCCTATGGAAAATACGTTTACGAACTATATGGAAAATATGCTTACAAATCATACATGTGAGACACTTACAAATCATACGTGGGATGCATTTACAAATCATATATCAGATTCGCTTACAAATCATACATGGGATTCACTTACGAGTCACCAAAGTGACACATTTACAAATTATATAGACGATACGTTTACAAATATTATACCTCAAATAAATGTCTCTAATACTATAGTTGTTGACAAGAACACCGGGGTGAGTTAAAGTTTTACGTGCTTGTCTCTCATTACTAATAATTTGTCTAACTATTATGAACCCTTGTATTTTTGCTTTATGATTTATAAAGATTGACAATGATGAATCAGATAGTGATTCTTGCGAAGCAATTCAAGACACTACGAATCGTAATGATACAGACGATGAAAATTCTTGTGAGATAAATTGAATTAACGAGTAATACAAGTTTTCTTCATAATAAAATAATAATAAATGGTATGTTTTTTAGATATTTTATTGGCACTGTTTGCCGAATTTTTTGCGGGATATTTTCCTTCTAATTATAGTTACATGATTCAACGTCTTATAAAATTGCCACCATACTATACTTATGAGGGCTTTAAAATATAGCAATTTGAGGTTGATATGTTCATTAATATTTCAACTGTGGATGATATAAAAGCATGGTTTTTTGTCTTTGAAGAACACTCGAAAACGACAATGCCGCAGACAAAAGGGTATGGGGTTAAAGGCAAACGAGTTATTTTTAGAGAATTAAGGCATTGCATTCATAATCAAATGGTTAGAAATAAACAAGATGACCCTAAACGAAAGTGTCCAGAATCTTCACGTAATAGAAATACAGGTTGTTCAGCAACCTTGTGTTTACGATTAGAACATTAGCGTTTAACTACTAGTCATCCTTTGGAGGTTAAGCTTTGCTTTAAACATAATCATATTATTAATTCGGCTGAGTCACTTAGTTTTAGATGTGTACATGAAAAAATACGTAATAAATTTCTACGAATGTTTCATGATGGTTACTCACCCGCGTCCGCTTTATATACCCATGAAGATGAATTGCATCTTTCAGCTTTATCGAATGAAACCCTTGCTGAAATTCTTGCTGATCGTGCGATTCATCCCGATTATACTTATGTGCTGCATCTTTTTGAACAGTATCATAATTCTCAGCTTGGTGGACAAAACGGGGCATCGATGTTTCAGCGTCTAAGTGAAGAGGTTGCAAATTATAATGCGTCAGGTTACGGGCATGCAATTCTTCAAGAATATGACTCACAAATGGGAAAAGCCTTTATATTGTGTATTGTTATAGGGTTAATGAATCAGGTGCATGAGAAGATTCGTGAAGCAGGAGAAATTTGTTATATAGATGCATCTGCATCATTTGAACCATTAAATATACCGATAACACTTTTGTATACAAGCTGTATAGCGGGTGCATTGCCCTTGGGACTTTTTATTACATCTGATGAACTTGCAACTACGATTGAAAAAGCCATTAATCTCTTAAAATTAATTCTTCCTGAACATGCATTTTTCGGTCGTGGATGTGAGGTTGGGCCTCAAAATATTTTAACTGATGATTCCGCTGCAGAACGAAGTGCGTTAAAACTATGTTGGCCACAATCCAATCTGCTTTTGTGTACATTTCATGTATTACAGGCATTCTGGCGCTGGCTATATAGCTCAAAACATGGCATTAACAAAGAACATCACATAGTTATTATGAATCAAATGAAAAAAGTTTTGTATACATGTACAAAAACTAACCTTAATAACTATTATCAAGAATTAAAAAACACTTACTATCATCAATATCCATTACTCGCAAAACATTATGAGTATCTTTGGAAGTGCCGACAATATTGGGCACATTATTTTCGATTAAATTCACTATTACGTAGTAACCACACAAATAACTATATAGAACGTGGTTTCGGTTTGCTTAAGGACATTATTTTTGCAAGAACATGGGCTTTTAATTCAGTTCAAGTGTTTTATTTTATTACTAAGAACATGAAACGATTTTATGAACGTCGTCTATATGGATTTGCACATCGACACCCTGGTCATATGGAAATTGCAAGGAGATTTTTGTGTCCTGGTTGGGAAATTGTTGATAAAGATTCAATTCGTCAGCTAGAAAATATGGATGAATATTTAGTACCAAGTACAAAAAAGGAATCAGGGCTTGTCTATACTGTGAATAGTGCTATTGGAATATGCAATTGTTTTATTGGATTGACAGGTGCACCATGTAAGCACCAAGGTGCTGTCGCAATGAAATATCATATCAGAATTATCAACTTTTTACCTTCATTAACTCCTGATGATCGCATGATTTTTTCGTATATTGCAAGCAGTTAGTATCGGCATAATTAAAGTTAAAATATATGTAACATTATAGTAATTATTTTTTTTTTCAAGGACTTAATGTGAAAGATCGTTCTTTTTATGCATCATTACGCCTAAACCCTGCTTTAATTAATCAACGTGATACTATGAATGACAATGAAAATGGAAATAAAGATTTACATACTGATACTGTAACAATAGCTGAAAGCAGGATTGACACAAGTAACGAATTTAGGTTTGTTTTTATACATATTAAGTTACTCTATCTTTATTCTTTTATAAATTTTACATACTACTACTATATTTTTGTAAATTTTACATACTATCACTATTATTTTGTATATTTATTGTATTACATATAAAGAATAAAATTTATACTAAAGACTACAATATTATTTAGTGAAATGGAGAATCAAGAAGTGGATTTTGATAGTTCATCTTTCAATAATTTTTTAAAAGAAATTGAAGATGATTATAAAAACTGCGGCTCACAATTACGGATGGCATTTGATAAGTTTGCTGAACGATACAAAGCAACTAAATCACTATCAATTGGACGAGTAACCACTTTTCTTTATGATCATAATCTGGATTTTTCAGCACGTATTAAAAATAGAACAATGATTCGAGTTCAACCTGAATCTGTAAAACGAAGAAAAGCAAACATTAAACAAAGAATTGGTACAAATAAGGAGAATGATTCTCAAGAAATTCCCAAGCGTAAAGTGCGAAAAACAAATAAAACTAGACATAGTTTGTGCACAAGTGTTTCAAATGATACATTGAATTAATAATATACTAGTTTATTCTAATATACTGCAATAATTTAGTGATGAAGTAGAAATAAAGAGATTGATATAGCAAGAGGTTTAAATGTTATGTAAACTTATGATTAAATAAGTTTCTTTTTTTTTAAAAAAAACATAATTGTTGAAGTGAATTTGAATGTGACTTGGCAGTAGTGATGCCGACTATACTCATGATAAAATATAAATTATTTACACATTTAGATTAATAGCATAAAAATCATCAAAACATAAACTGATAGACATTATATGCTTGCGATAAAAACAATGAAATATAACTAAAAATTTATTTATGCATATATTTTACAATAAAATAAAAAAAGAAACAGAAAGATTTATTTAGCATATTTACAATGAATAAGAATTTGAATTAATATTTTGATTATAAAGTTTATTTTTTGTATTTTTGTATATCTTCTGGACAATTGGAACATTCATTTGCTAAATGTGATTTCATTATGATTGATGTTCCTTGTTGTCATTGCTTAGAACAATATTTGCATCGAACAGAATAATATTTTCTAATTTTTTCATAATTTATTTGAAGAAGCTGAACAATCATTAGTAGCAATCAAATTATTATTCAATATATTGGGGGTTTCAGAATTAATGATTCGACATCCGATTTTAAATAAAATAAGTGATGTATCTATTTTTTTAAAGTACATACTTACCAATGAATGTAATAAATATTTTTATCTACTATTATATCTAGCTATATCTTTTATTTTAGCAATTTTAACTACAATATACATTAAAATTAGTTTTATTGCATGATAAAACTCAATACATAAATGTTTAGTCAGCATTAAGACTCTAGTATTTAGTAACTTATAGAACTTGTAAATGCAGAATTAATTGTGTTAATTTCTGCTACGTAGTATAAATTTATAAATTTTATATAAATTGCTATTTATATTAAAAAGTTTTAAATTATTAGTTATGTATGTATACCAGGGCTAAACGATATGCAAACGGGGCTTGACCAGTAAGTATAACCAAAGTAATTAACGAAGAATTAAATCAGCCCCAAAATTGGTCTATTAGTAATATTAACCAAACTTACTTGATTACTGCTATTCGTGGCTGTTAACAGATTGTTTTCAACATAAGAATACAAAAGTTTAAAAGAAGGTTGTCAACTTCTTACTATATCAAGCTTGGTGTCTACGATATTATCTTTTTTTGTACAAATATATACGTTGTGAGGGGCTCTGGTCGTCCGACCCTACAATTTTTTATTTTTTTATTTATTATTATCTATATTTTATTATAAGTATTAGTATTATCAAATATATATATTACTTAGCTTAGTTATCCGGGGGCTCCTTCTCCTGGATCAAATCGATAAGTCGGATAAATTCGCTTTAGCGAATTTATCCGCTTAATCCACCTTAATTGCCTTAGTAGATATAGTGAATTTATTCGCCTTAGCGAATAAATTCAAGAGAAAGTTGTATATTTTAAACCCTGTAAAAATATATAAAAGCAGAGCTGCTCTTGCTCTGAAATAGAACAGAACTGAGTTGAGTAATACTTCGAAATAAATAACAGTAGAAGTGCTCCAGTAGTTTTATACTTATCTTGTTCCTCATAAAAAACGTTTGAATAGAAATATACACTGATCTAGTTATAATTGATAAACTGTTAAGAGTCTTGACCTTCGAAATTCGAGTAGAAGTGTCTCTAAGTTCCCTAAAAACGATATCAACACAAGCCGAATTCGTGTTCTCTTGTTTCTGTGATTTCCTCTATACTTAAGTTAGAGAGAGAAAGAGAGTTGATTAAAAACCCAAAAACCCTTTTTATAATAAAATATAATTGATCAAGCTTTGATCAAACGTCATTGTTACCTCAAATCGGCTATAAATTGAAATTACGACTATACTTCGTAACCACGTGATCCACGTGATGATCGTTAAGAATCTTAACGATCGAAGTAGAATACTACAGCCCGGCACACTAAAAATTCAAGCCAAGAAACCACTTTTAGCTTCCTCTAGAAGTTTATCAAATACTGCTATAAGCACAAGACCAAGATATACTTATTTTAGCCTCCAAACATGCCGCAGCAAGACTAACAAGACTTAGAGACTCGGACCAAGTCTCTCTGCGCCTCTTTTTGCCTGCCAAATCGAAGTCTTTAGGGTCTTCGAACAGAAGATTAGTAGTTGTAGTGTGTAAATTTAGCTAGATTTAGCTTTAAACCATTAAGTCACCCCTTTTCAACGTACGCACTATTTCAAATGTTTATTTATTATCTAACATGTATAACATATTATATAATTTGACAATGGTTACACTGCATATCATATTACATGGATCGACATAACCTGGCACAGAATGTTTGGGTGCCTATCTAATTCCATTCTGATTAGCTCTTCTTCCGAATAAATTGCTTTAGTTAAAATTTCTTTAGATACATTTTTGATTATATCCTATAAA